AAATACATATGAAGTTTATTATATTATTATTTTTATAAAATTATGAGTCTCATTTATTGTTTAAAATAAACATTCAACAATTAAGTATAATTATTTTTATTTTTCTAAACTTTTTTACTTTAATCTAGAGTTTATATTTGTTTTTATTTTATGTAATGATTGATTTATTGAATTAAAAGTTGTAATAAAAAAAATTTATTTAAATATTTAATTTTAAAATGTTGAAGTTATTAAGCCGCCGCGTGGGTTCCATCTGGCAGTCTAATTTCTCTGCTAGCCATGTCCACTCGCATGAAACCTGCAGCAAAGCGAGTGTCCAGATCCCGTTATGGAAAAAATGATTTAAATAAGCTTTGGATAGAGAGTATAAAAAATAAGCAGCCTCATCGCCCCTTCACTCCTATTCTTCTTTGATCATTCCATTCCATAAAATGGCTTACCAGTACATAGTTGGAGGAGTGATCGCTTCTCTTCTGGGGTTTGTTTTCTTGTACAATTCGTTTGTAAGAAGACTCAAGAAGACAAGAATATCCTCTATGGAGTTCCCTGTGGAAACCTGTGTGAAGAAAACGGGAAGCGGCGAGGTTGTTGGGGCTACAGATATTATCATAGTCGGTGCCGGAGTTGCAGGCGCTGCTCTTGCCTATACCCTTGGAAAGGTCTGAATCTCTCTCTCTCTCTTTCTTTTCCGTTTGTAGTATAAGCTCCTGTTATGTTCCGGCCCATTCCTGTTATGATATATACTAACTGAAATTCTTCTCTGCAATCACATGTTGCAGGACGGACGTCGAGTGCATGCGATCGAGAGAGAGTTAAACCAGCCTGACAGAATTGCTGGTGAAGCTTTATTACCAGGGGGCTACGTCAAGTTAATTGAGTTAGGCCTGGAGGGTGCGCAACTCTTTTCTTCTTGTTCTTCTCTCTCTCTCTCTCTGTTCCCTGCCAAATTTGTTATATTGATTTTTGGCGCTGCAGATTGTGTAGATGAGATTGATGCTCAGCGAATTTTGGGTTATGATCTGTACAAGGATGGAAAGAGTACCAAGATATCTTTTCCCTTGGAAAAATTTCAGTCCCATGTGGCTGGAAGAAACTTCTATAATGGACGCTTTGTACAAAAGTTGCGGGAGAAAGCCGCATCTCTTCCCAAGTACTTATCTACTTCATCATAATCATTCTTCAATATCAAACAATTTATGTCAGGGCCTGTTTCCATTGCTGATGTTCATATTACGCTTTTTCGACTTTTTCCCTGATTACTTCATTGTTCTGTTTTGCTTTACTGGCCCCTGCCATGACAAAATATGTACACAGTTTTTCTTCTGTTATCAAAAACTTCACTTGCACAAATTTGCAAAGCTAACGTCTAAGATGTAAGTGATGAAATGGGACTTTCAAGCTCCAAATTCATCTTCTTATATCCTTTGATTATGCAGTGTAAATCTAGAGCAAGGGACAGTAACATCTCTGCTTGAAGAAAATGGGACTATCAAAGGAGTGTATTACAAAACCAAGAGTGGTCAAGAGCTGACAGCATCTGCTCCTCTAACCATTGTATGCGATGGTGGTTTCTCAAATTTGAGACGCTCTCTCTGCTACCCTAAGGTGAAATTGCTTAGCAAATCGTGTCAATTACCAAATTTCTTACTAAACTTAATTAATCTTCTATAAGAAAAATCATGTTAAAATAAAGATTTTCGTTTACATGAATTGCTTAGAAAATGGTAATGTTAGTTTTGGGGAAATAAGAGAAGCTTTGAGTCCATAAGGAGCACATACAAATCCGCACATACATACTTTCTTGCCTAATCCTCTTAAGTTTTATGCTTTTAGAAAATATGAAGTTCTTGATTGTTTCTGCAGGTTGATATCCCCTCTTATTTTGTTGGTTTGGTTCTGGAGAACTGTAAACTTCCGCATGCAAATTATGGAGCTATTATACTGGAAGATCCTTCACCTATCTTGTTTTATCCTGTTACCAGCACTGAAATACGTTGCTTGGTTGATGTACCTAGCCAAAAACTACCCTCTGTTTCCGGTGGTGAAATGGCCCATTTCTTAAAAAATGTGATAGCTCCCAAGGTAGCTGGTGTCTTTCTTTCATCATTTTCGGAAACCTTGGGTTGCAGTTCTGCCTCTCCCTGAAAATTTTAACATCGCCACCTTAATATTTTACTGGTTTCTGTCATCTGTGGACTAACCATATGACTAATTATACATGCAGATTCCTCCTGAACTACACACTGCCTTTATCTCTGCAGTAGAGAAGCAGAACAACATAAGAACTATGGCGAATAGAACCATGCCAGCAGCCCCACTTCCTACTCCTGGTGCACTTTTGATTGGTGATGCATTCAATATGCGACATCCTATAACCGGAGGAGGAATGACTGTTGCACTATCTGATGTTGTTGTGATAAGGGATCTTCTAAGACCCTTGCACAATCTAGGTAATGCATCGGCAGTTTGCAGATATCTTGAATCTTTTTATACCCTGAGGAAGGTAAGCTACATACATATATTCCTCTCTGCAGTAAATTTGCAAGTCATGTATACATTTTGTGCATAAACAGCTCCATTATATTATTTCAAATGTTTCTGGCATTATTTTTGGTAAATAAATTGAGGGCAACTTCTCTAAGTTGCATCAGAAAATGTAGAATTTTGCATTAACTGGATGGTTTTGGTCCTGCCTGCAGCCAATGGCATCTACAATAAATACGTTGGCTGACACCCTACACAAGTTATTTAGTGCCTCATCTGATCCTGCAATGCAGCAAATGCAACAAGCATGTTTCGGCTATTTGAGTCTTGGAGGCGTTTTTTCGAATGGACTCTCATCTCTACTCTCTGGTCTGTACCCTCGTCCGTCAAGTTTAGCATTTCACTTCTTTGCCATGGCAGTGTATGGTGCTGGCCGGTTGCTACTTCCATTTCCTTCTCCCAACCGCATGTGGACTGGGGCTAAATTGATTTGGGTCAGTATCTCTGTTAAAACATTGCTACACTGTCATATGTTTCTTTACCAACCGTGTTCACTGCAACTTCAGAACAACCTAAGGATAAAACAAATCTGATGTGTTACCTTTTCTATTTCTTGTTTTTCCAGGTTGCATCAAGCACCCTTTTCCCCCTTATAAAGTCTGAAGGAGTCAAACAAATGTTTTTCCCCCTAACTGTGCCAGCATACTACAGAGCTCCTCCTTTCTAAGAAAAAACGATGCAAGAAATCTGCAAATCGACAAATATTCAAAGAAACTTTGTGCTTTTGGAGAGTCCATGGATTAAATTAGCAACATTTGTTGTGAACAATTCCAAGTTAAGAAGAAAATTTCCTCTCTGCTAGTCAGCAACTTGTTAAGCAAGTAAGAGAAGATCCTATCTTACCAGAGATCAAACTTACTGCAATCCTTCTCAAAATCATCATAAATGCAGCTATCAATTGGTTCTAGAAACCCAATTTATTTTTTCTGATTTTAATGAAATTAGTGCTGGGTTATTTTATCAGAATTTATGAATGAACTTGTGATAAAAGAAAATGTTAGAATACCAAATTGAAAAAGACCATAATGGGCATGTAATAGTGACAATATTTTTAGGATTTTGTTCACTTTCACCGATGTTATGTGCAATGGTCATAGACGATAAATCTCGAAAATATAATAAATTTCAATGATTGATTACATTTTGTACTAACGAAGTCAATTCCTGGAGCATTGATTAATGAACAATAAGATTATCTAGTTTTATGTAATAATTTTCTAAAGTAAAATAACACAGAAGAAAATTTGAAGAATTTTGAAAAGAAAAGCAGTAAGTATTCGTTTTGTTTATGTATTTTTTTTATTTAAGAGAAGTGTATTATTTATAAGCAATTAGATAATTTTTCAACAAACACAATCGTCTATGTTTCATATAGAATCAATTCTTTTGATATTACAAATAATTAAATATTAAATTTAATTAATTTCAAGTCTACCTAAACTTAAAAAGTCTATTCATAATTCATTACCTATTAAAATCCATTCGTAATGGACTTATACTCTTCTTTATTTAAATAACTCATTTTTCTCCCACCTTCATTATTGTTGAAAATATCCAAAGAAAACTCAATTATTCTTCACATGACCTAGGGTCAAGTTCAACTCAGGCCAAAAACGTTGAAAGCAGGCCATGATCAGCATATCTTAGGCAGGAACAAGACATGTTTCACATTTTCTACAGGATTCAAGTTAAATTTAGCCAAATACCCTAGTATTAAAATGAATCTTGCAGCTTTTATCTTTTACCTACTCCATGTTTCGTCTTCACACAAGAGTGCACCGTGGCAACATACTTGAATTACTCTTTCAAGTTATTATATATTAATAACCATGTCAAATTTAATTGCATGTTAAGAAATCAAAGATGAAGGGAATTGACCAAGCCTCAAATTTCCATCCCAGCAGCTCATTCCACCTCTCATGGACGTTTATTCTACAATTTGTTTTCAATAATGGTGTCACCCCCAAATTTGGCATCCATGGTTTTGGAAAACCAGGCAATTACTTTCAAACTGACTTGAAACATTTTTATATATAGTATATTGTTCACTATCATGGTGTCCCAAATCTCACCAAACTCTCCTTGACCAATCCAGTCTTACTTGGAGAATCACTCCAAATTTTGGTCATTTGACTAGCTAGGTTTAACCAATTTGTTTATGTCTCAAAATTGTTTTCTTGCTCTGATAAACATAGGTAATCAGATGATTATAGTTTTGTATTTTATTAGGGGTTTGAGTTCTTCTTTAGCCCACTTTAATTAAGATTTGAATCTTTCTTCAATCAGAATAAAAAAAAGGGTAATTGAAACTCAAGCTCATATACAGATATTTGACCCCAAAAAGTTTGATCAAGTAGTATAGTTTATCAACAATGTAAACTGAAACAAAGTTCAAAATGTAGCTTTACCAGAACCATAGCCAAGATAAAGGACAAAACTATGCTCCATAAACTGTAATAAATTGGTAATAAATGACTCACATGGCAATTAAGCATATTTTTATGAATAGAAATTGTTTGTCTTCATGCAATGTCTGGTTTAGTATTCTTTTTCATAATTATGCATTACGTGTCTAAGTTTATATCAGCCACAAATGACAAAATTAGGAAAAGAAAGAGCATACGGGATGGAGGGTTTTTATTTTTAATATATATTTTTTTTATAATTGAGGGAAAAGGGTTTGAATCATACACTTTCCGTAAAAAGATTACATATTAATTAATGAACAATATGATGCGGGTAAGAATTTTTATTTATTTTGAACTTAAATATAAATTGTGGGCACCTGCCAAACTGCGTTTAAGAGGAGGAAAGTTTGGCAGCAAACGAGCGCTGAAGTCACACAAAAACCAGAAAGCAGAACTTTCAGGAATTATGGGAGGAGAAGTATAATAGGAGACGAAGTCATCAAGTTGCGATCAACTCCTCTTGATCATTCACTGTTTTCCTAGTTTTCTACTTTCATAAAATATGGGTTACGAGTGTACAGTTGAAGGGCTGGTAGCTTCTCTGCTGGGGTTTGTTGTCTTGTACTGCACTTTCGTAAGAGGATTCAACAAGACAAAAGCTGCAGCAGCGACTTCTTCTTCTTCTTCTTCCATGGTGTCTCCAATGGAAAATTGTGTGAAGAAAACAGGGAATGGCGAGGTTGCTGGGAGTACAGACATTATCATAGTTGGCGCTGGAGTTGCTGGTTCTGCCCTTGCTTATACACTTGGAAAGGTCCATTCCCTACATCTCTCTCTCTCTTCCCCCTTCTCCTTCTATAACATCTGTTGTTTGCCCTGAATTTTGATGTTTCTTATTCTTGCTTTGATGCTTTTAATGAGACAAAAAAAAAAAAAACTGAGGAATAATTGAAGAAAGTGGAACATATGGTCTTTCTCTCCTTTTGCCCCCACGCAGGATCGAACTACGGACCTTCAGTTTACAAGACTGACGCTCTACCACTGAGCTATAGGGGCTAGCTGTTAAGCAAGAAAAATCAAATTCACCAGCAATTGGGATCTGTGACATTTCTTCTCTTGCTTGCATGTTTCAGGACGGACGCCGAGTGCATGTGATTGAGAGAGACTTAAGTGAGCCTGACAGAATTGTTGGTGAACTTCTACAGCCAGGGGGCTACCTTAAGTTAATTGAATTGGGTCTTGAAGGCATGCAATGAAACTTTTTTGTGACTCTTCCTTGCTCTGATCTTTCTGGCTTTTGACGTTGATTTTTTCCCCTACAGATTGTGTAGATTGCATTGATGCTCAACAGGTTTTTGGTTATGCTCTGTACAAGGATGGAAAGAATACCAGGTTGTCTTATCCCCTGGAAAAGTTTCACTCAGATGTTGCGGGAAGAAGCTTCCACAATGGACGTTTCATACAAAGGATGCGGCAGAAAGCTGCTTCTCTTCCCAAGTATGTTTCTTTCCCATCACAACCCCTTTAACCATTGTTAAGCAGAATCCAAGAACATTTAAAATAAAAGTAACTCTTTCTTCCCAAGGGTTTCATTGCTCTGTTTCTTCATATGCCCTGGTTCTACTTTTGCCCATATTAGTTTTACTTTTCTCTTTTGACTTTTTCCCCCTATTTTTACTTTATTTTTTCTCAATGAAGATTTGAACATTTCCTTGCTTTGCTAGCTTGTTTTCATCATTCTCATACATAATAATTGGTTTAATGCAGTGTAACTCTAGAACAAGGAACAGTAACATCTCTACTTGAAGAAAATGCGACTATTAAGGGAGTTCAGTTCAAAACTAAGGGTGGTCAAGAGTTGACCGCATATGCTCCCCTTACTATTGTATGCGATGGTTGTTTCTCAAATTTGAGACGCTCTCTCTGTTACCCGAAGGTGAAGATTCTTATTCAAATCTTGTCAAATATCAAACACTTACTAAAATCGATCAAGCTTTTAATTAGAATAAGGTGGTAGTTAATGAAGTTTCTTATCTACAATTTGGTACCAGCATTCTCTCTTGATCTTCATTTTTACTCTTGAGACAACATGAAGATCTTTATTTGTTTCTGCAGGTTGATGTCCCCTCTTGTTTTGTTGGATTGGTTCTGGAGAACTGTGAGCTTCCGCATGCAAACCATGGACATGTTATATTGGCAGACCCTTCACCTATCTTGTTTTACCCTATCAGCAGCACCGAGATTCGTTGCTTGGTTGATGTGCCTGGCCAAAAAGTTCCTTCTGTTTCCAATGGTGAAATGGCCCATTACTTGAAAACTGTGGTGGCTCCCCAGGTACTTGTGTCTTTCATTTATCAAATGACTCCCAATTTTATGCAATTAAACGAAATCAAGTTCACTAGCCTTTTGACACCTCTTCTACTTCCCTTAGAAATTTAAGCACCACCCCTTTTTACGTACTGAACTGATTTTCTGGTTATTCATATCAGATTCCTTCTGAACTGTACACTGCCTTTATCTCCGCAATTGATAAGGGGAACATAAGAAGCATGCCAAACAGAAGCATGCCTGCTGCTCCACACTCAACTCCTGGTGCACTTTTAATGGGTGATGCATTCAATATGAGACATCCTTTAACCGGAGGGGGAATGACTGTTGCACTATCTGATATTGTGGTACTAAGGGATCTTCTAAGACCCCTGCACGATCTGTATGATGCATCTACTCTTTGCAAATCTCTTGAATCTTTTTATACCTTGCGGAAGGTAAGCTACACATGTATTCCTCCCGGATAACTTCACATTTCATGTTCTGTACTTCTGTTTAATGTGAAAACTTGGCTTCAGAGACTGTACAATTTTTCCACTTACCGGATGGATTTGGTTTTATGATTTGCAGCCAGTGGCATCTACAATAAACACATTGGCTGGAGCCCTATACAAGGTATTCAGTGCCTCCCCTGATCCAGCAAGGAAGGAGATGCGGCAAGCATGCTTTGACTACTTGAGCCTTGGAGGCATATTCTCAAATGGACCAATCTCTCTGCTCTCTGGTCTGAACCCCCGCCCTATAAGCTTAGTCCTACATTTCTTCGCAGTCGCTATCTATGGCGTTGGCCGCTTGTTACTTCCATTTCCTTCACCTAAACGCATTTGGACTGGGGCTAAATTGATTTCGGTGTGTATCT